GTTGAGAAAAAAACTTGGTGGGTGTTGTCCTGGCCGGGGGGGGGGGGGGGGGACTTACCAAACACAGACACAGCCACGCTGCTCACCCTGGCTTGTCCACTGGCCTTGTGCCTCACCGAGCATTCATAGCTGCCGCTGTCCTGAGCGGCGGCTCGCGGGACGCTCAGAGTGTAGATGATCCAGTCAGGAAAACTTTCTGTCGTCCGAATCGCATTTACAGCCTGCGAGAAACGGGGGGGAAAGTAGAATACGTTTAGTAAAGCTGCTCACAATTAGAATGGGTAATCACATGAAAATTATTTGATTTATAGCACAATTTCGCTGCTTAAACTTTGTGCAGTTTTTTTGCTTGTTTTTTTCCCCCCATTTTAAAGCTACGGCACAAGGCTGGTGGCTAAAACACTGGTGAGGCCAGAGGAGATAAATCAGGATCTCAGAGCCTTTTAAAAGCCTGTAATTGCAGCTGAGACCAGAACCAGGAGTCAGACCTCCTGCATCCCTGCCTCACTATCTCTGGAAAAAGACTTAAAGGAGTCCCTCACAGAAGATACAGCACATTAAAGAAAGCGGGGCAGCACAAACACAACTTGTGCAGTGGCTTGTAAAGGCATTCATACTCCTAAACTTCTTCAACTTTTGACACACTGCAACTGCAAGGTTACAGAGGTTTGTTAGAGAATCGGAGACAAGAAAAAAACAGCATCATGAAGACCAAGGAATCCAGCTGTAGAGGTCAGGGAGAAAGTTCTGGGGTTCAAAGCTGGGTTAAGTAGTAAAACAATCTTTGAAAATGTCACAGAGTGCTGTTCAATCCATTATCCAAAAGGGGGAAGAAGACAGCACAATTCCAAACCTACCAAGACATGAACTGATCAGAGAAGCAGCAAAGAGGCATATTTACTGTATCTCTGAAAGAGGTGAAGAAATGATGACAGGACAACTATTAGTCACTCACTTCACAAACCTGTACAACAAACATGTAGGGGGCGGTATAGTGGTCAGATGAGAACAAAAAGTAGCTTTCTGGTTGAGATGCAAAACGCTGTGTGATAGAAAACTAACACTGCACATCCCCCCCTACACCGCCGCCCACCCACCACCCTCCCTGAACACACCATCCCAGCGATGTGTGGATGCTTTTCTTCAGCAGGGACAGGGAAGCTTATCAGGGAAGATGGATGGAGCACAAGCCTGCTAGATAACAGCAGCTGTACTGGAATGGAGTTTCAATGTGCTTGCATTTGTTAGAATGCACTAACAAAAAAGAGAATGGAGCTTCAACGTAAAAAAAAAAAAAAGAAGAAAATTGTTCATTTCCATCTATTATCATACACGCTTGTCCCTAGTGGGCTTGGGAGGGGTGCTGGTGCCTATCTCCAGGGGTCAACAGGCATCACATACCTCATCCCTAATCCAAAAACAGCATTTCTCCTCATGGGGACCAGGATTTGTCCCCACAGGAAGGAGTGGTCCCCACAACCCACAATGTAACAGAAATAGGTCCCCAAAGGGAATAAAAACCAGGTTCTCACACACAGGTGAATTTTAGAGAGATCAATTAACCTGTGAGTCAAGTTATGTTTTTGGACTGTGGGAGGAAGCCGGAGCACACGAACGCATTAAGAGGGAGAACATTGACCCTGGGCCGGGAATTGAACCCAGGACCTTCTTGCTGCAAGGCAACAGTGCTACCACCTGTGCAGCCCAATTGAGTTAATTTGTTGCATGCAATTAAATTAAGTTTGTCAAACTTCATTTATTTATGTTTATTTACTTGGTTGAACTTAATTTGATTATTTGTAGCAAACTAACTCAATTAACTAAGCCTTGAAAATTGCTGTTCATTAAAGATCAGCAATAGCTCAAACTCACCGAAGGAGTTTGAGCTATTTTTGCTGAAGAAAATGGACAGAAAGTTTAATAAAAACAACTTTTGATTTTTATTTGTAACTTTTTCTTCATAATTAAACTGCTTCATCACATATCATCTCACTACATATATACTTAAGTGCCATTGAGCTTTAGTAAATGGAATGAAGTTCATGAGATGTGAACACTTTTTGTAATGCCTTAAAAGCCTCAGATGTTTGGCCGCCTGTCATGTGGAAACGACATCCACCCCACCGGTCCCATGGTCAGCAGGTTCAAAGGATTTACTGTCCTGTTATTTACCGTCCTTTGAGCTGCCTCCTTTCCTTCAGCCATACGTCATGAGCCTTTAACCTCCCTGTCAGGCTCTTTGACACGGGGGTTAACTGGCATGCTGAGGTTTTAAACGGACATTGTCCCAATCAAGATGATATTTCAAAAACAAACACTTTGCAACCCCCTAAAAGATGGACTAGATCGCAACAGGCAAGTAAAGATCTGAGTCTGAGATCTCAACAGTGTGAAAAAAAGTAAATATGACCTCAAAGGACTCTGGATAAGACCTCAGAAGAGACCAATTAGAGGTAAAGAGACGGGGGGGGGGGGGAACGACATCTTACCTGTGTTTTTAGATGGATCCACTGCTGGTGGAAGGCTGGGCCAAAGGGTCCGATACAGGAGACGTTAAAGGGCTCCCCGACTCGAACCGTCCCCGCGCTGGCTTTGACTTCCACCTCAAAGTCGCTCACCTCGGTGGATTCTGCAGCAGGGACCACCACAGAGAGGCTATCAGCACCGACATCTCAGGAACCAAGATGGTGACAGCTTGATTACCGTGACCACATTTATCATGGCATAATGGCTGATGAGTTTCAGTCATTCCCACACACACACACACACACCCACGCACATGCACGCACGCACGCACGCACACACACACACACACACTACATGCTAAACTTGTGTATATATGTGTATAAGTTTAATCCAGTGAGATCACAAAGCAGCTACTGTACAAAGACATGAGTTCTTGCTGCTCTTTAATCGTTGTTTCACTGCAGTTTCCTAACAACCAGCCTCTAATCTTTTTTTAAAGTACTATAAAGTGGTATTTTAGCTATGCAACAAATTCTCACAAGTAATAAAACCATAGCTGTGTGGTAAATTATAGATCTCCATGAAATACGTTTCTAAAAAAGGAAAGAAAAAAAATGCTGATTTTGCTTTTTGTCTGTTTCAGTCAGCGACATCTCAGGATGCATAAAACTTGAGCTGATCAGGTGGCGCTAATAAACGCGATGGAGAACGAGTCAGCTCGACAGATCCCAACATGAACTGGAACTTATACTTGAGTTGCAAGGAGGTTCAACCTTACATGTCTGATCTGATGACCCCTCCCTCTGAAAGCAGGGAGTTGATGACAGCAGAGATTGTCTCAAGATCTTTAAGTGACACACACAAACCAGACCATATGCTTCTTGTCAACATTTGTCTTAAAATGGTAGCGGAGGATTCTACATTATTACATCTGTCCATTCCAGTGGGTCCTGGTTCTCCAAATGTGTTTTTGTTGCCACGTTTTCCTGAAATCCATGAAGTATTCTCATATGTAGCTTAAATGCTTTGCTGCAGCCATACAGAGTACTTCTTTAAAGTGATTTGACATGACAACAAGAGGGACAAAATAGCAGGAAAAAAAAAATCAAGTGGACGTAATTAAAATAAATTCTGATCAGTTGCCTTTTGGGATGTCATCAGAGGCCTGTGCTTATGGAGGATTGTTTGTTTAGGTGTTGATTAAAAGACAAATAACAAAATAGCGAAACAAGTAGAAAAAGTGAACATGGCATGTCGTCTATGGCTGACAAATAACATCTAAGTGAGTGGTTTTGCAGCTTTATACTATAAGAAATACTACTTCTGACTTACCCAAACTCATCACGGTGTAGATGTCACTTTGGAAAGTCTGGCCGTTAAATGTGACCTCACACCTGTACTGGCCAGGAGAGAGGTCGCCCATGAAGCCCACTCTGTAGTCGTAGTACCTGTGGAGCTTCTCTCCGCTGGGCACTCGGATCAGTTCCACATCGTGGGTCTGTGCCGTCACTCGGCATGTGATGATCAAATCATCCTCATAGGGAACGAGCAGGTCTTCTGCTCTCTCTGGGACAAACGCGACCTGAGGATCTAGAAAAGGACAAGAAAGAACGTAACCTTTTGTAAATTAACAGTTTATCTTCCTTATCTTTATGTTTTTTTTTTTTTGCATTTCTTATTATTGTCTAATTTGAGAACATGACCATCTTCCTGCTTTGCGCAACCATCAGCCTGAACAAGAACATTCATTCATTTATTTTTCCCTCCTTACCTTTGACAAGGACATAGATTTCCACCAGATCGTTTTGGTCGCCCTCCTTGTCTTTATGCCTGCACCCGTAATAGTTGGTGTGCTTGACCGTCGCATTGTAAATGAGGAGAGTTGAGGCGAAACCGTTTGAAGAAATGACGGCGTCGTCCGGCAGAGGTTCTTCCCAGACTACTTCTGATTGGCCCGTACAGCTGATGTTGATGATGGAGTGGGGCTCCACCACCAGCTCGTCTCTTGCTGGCCATATGGTCGGGGCGGACAGTCCAGGTGTAACTGTGGGACAGTTTGCTCAATGTTAGACAACGTTTTTGATTTTAAAAAGTACAAAAAAAAAAGGTTATATGTCTCATATAGATGTCTACCTGAAACCATCAATACAATGGCAACACCACAGACCAGGTACATCCTCACGTCATCCATGACTGTGGATGCTCAGGCCTGTGAAGACAAGAAGACGGACTAATTATATTAAGTATTGTAAGGATTTTATTTTATTTTTTTCATTTTTATACCATCATCTGCACATTGATACCGTATGCCATTACGCTATATGTATAGAGGCTACACATGTGACTCCCAAACGCTGCTGTTTCTGACTAACAAACCAACAAAAGAAGATACACTGAATATATAAGCTTACACCTTTCTCGTGTATGTAGTTACTTATTTATTTTGATTTCTAAACAAGAGGCGGAGAACTCACAATTTGCTGAATTGTGAGCAAATTCAGCAAATTTGACACCACTGGGCTTCACCTACAGATTATCATCCTTCCTCGGGATTTATATCAAATAATTTTACCCACTAGATCTACATGGGTTAACAATGGCCGTCTTTGTTATTAATCTACTCATTAACAGCAACATTTTTGAAAGTCCGCAGTTTTTTTTGTTTTCTGTTTTTTTTTTTTTTTTTGTTGCTTTTGTTTGTTTTTGTGAGGCTGGGCACGGGTCACTGCAGTTCCATTCCACGGTCTGTAGAGGGCGACACAGTCCAACTTTTAGAGGCGATGCGAATCTAATCACGTCGCTTCTCATAATTGTTTGCTTTTGTTTTGAAAAAGCTTCACCTTTTCTTGATTCCGCCTAAACGCAAACAAGTCCGAACATAGATATTGCTAGCATGCCAAACATAGAAGATGCTAATTAAGACATCTTGTTATTATTATTATTATTATTATTATTATTATTATTATTATTATTATTATTATTATTATTATTTTACAAGTTCTACTAGTTTCTGAGACTTAAGTCCTGGGAACAATTATTTCCATTTCGGTGTTTACTATGCCAGTCTTCACAGCGACCACGTTTTAAAGCAAGAGGCATTTTTTCATTAAAACATCATTTATGTCACGTCTCCCTCGTTAATTAGGCATTTTTATAGTAAGCGTGCAACTTGTTTTTCTCCGTTTGATCTTTTTCAGCGTCTTGTCTTATTTCCTGGGAAAAAAGGGAAAAGAAATTAGCTTAAAAAAAAAAAACCTCCATGTCATCTTACTGTTTCCAACGATTGTCCGCTCTGGCTCAGCTGAGACAGGCTAAATAATCCATCGGCAGCGCGGTTCCTCAACTCTATAATTAGGACATCCACTATGCGCAAAATTACATATCTGCGTGGGAATCCGATGACAAAATGTCTAACGCGATTTGACGTTTTTTTTTTTTTTTTTTTTTTATGCACACGCCTTGTCTAAAAAGGTGGAGGGAACTTTTTCTCTTCTTTTTTCTTTTCTTTTCTTTTTTTTGGTCGCAGTTTGGTGAAGAACTTTTAAAATCGAAATTGTGCTCAAAACAGTCTGCAGAGACAGTCAAGCTCCGTGCATGCCCCTCTCTTTATTTATTCCCCTCTTTCTCTCAGAAAGCGACTCAAAAAGTTGACAAACTGTGCAACAGGTCAGCCCAGAGTAAGAAAAAAAAAGAGAAGAGTATTCCATCTAGTGTCTAAAAGATACGGTCCTCTTAAAAAAATGTTGAACTTTCACGTTTTTGTTTTTTAATTCTAAGTCCAAATGCATCAGATCCGACGAAAAGACCCGTTTGGTCTCACAGCAGGGTAGGGGGTAAAAGAAGAATGCGTCGTGTCTCCAACAGGGGAAAAAAAGAGAGAAAACGACACAGAGCCCCTCTCCTTTCTCATTCTGAATCAAATCCAGACTTTTTTTTTTTAAATCCTCTATTTCTCTCCACTGCGAGCGATCATATTCCACTTTAATTCCTCCCGCATCCCCTTCTGTAGGCGAGGAAAAGGTGATGCACAAATTCCAACGTGTTTCCCATTAAACTTCCAGGCAGCATCCCACAATTGTGCCTTCGGTCTTCGAGGTGACACCTCCAGCTGCGAAGCCGAAACTGAGCGCCTTTATCCGGAAGAGTGAGCGACACTTCGCCGCTCGGCGTCCGAGTGAGGAGGGGGGGTAGAGAGACCATATGGCGCAAAGAGACGCTGAGATAACAAAAAAAAAAAAAAGAACTAACGCAAATCACTTGCGCAAAAGTTTCGCACAGCTTGCAAAGTGCTGAATAAAAGTAAAAAAACAAAAAAAACCTAACTGTACGGACTTTATTCCGCAAACAGAAAGAAAGATAAATAGTGATCTGCAACATGCATTCTGAAGGTTGTGTTAACTTGAGCAAAAGAGAGTTGGGCACGAAACAAATGTTTAATCGACCTTTCAATTACCTTTTTCCTAATCCCCTCTATTCACTCCTTTCTTTTAAGTATATCCACAGTGAATTGGTCCCTCCAAAAAGGGCGCAGCGAAGGTCCCCCCTTTTTGCAGCGGTAATAATCCTCAGAGATCCGGCGCTATGTGCGCCCCTTCTGTCCGCATCCACGGCCGCCTTCACAACTGCACTCCAGCTACAGCGACCTGTAACTGATTCAATGTTACAGTCCAACCCCCCTCAACCGAGAAAAAAAAAAAAGTAATCATCTGGCTCAAAGTAAATAACTCTCAGGAAATGGCATCCCCCCGCCCCTCTCTGAGCGCTGCACTTCTTTCAAAGTAAGATACTTTAGGAAAAGACGCGCAGATACAAATAATGACCAAATTCAGTTTTTGTACAACAGACATTCTTTTGCATTTTAAAACCTCGTGTCTGAAGTTGTTTTGTTGTTGTTGTTTTAAAATGTTACTGTTTTGTGACCAGGTAGGTTCACCAACCACTTGCCGTTCTTTCTTTTCTTTTCTTCTTTTTTTTTTTTACATATATATATATATATATATATATATATATATATATATATATATATATATATATATATATAGAAATGCATCTATTTGTCGCTTGTAGTTGCGAAGAAACGCGGTTCTTGTGCATCACACAGAAACTCTGCAGAAGTTGTGTGAGGTTCTAGATGGCGCTCACACACCGCCATATAACTGCTCGCCCCTCTCATTGATTTCATTCAGTTTTTTTTTTTAGTTTTTTTTTTTAGTTTTTTTTTTTTAAATCAAAAGAGCCCAAACCATCAGAATGGTCCCCTTCTCTCTCCTCTTGTGTAACACGGAGAACTAATGATTAGGACCCTTGTTTACTGCCTAGATCCGTCAGTACGGACAGTTTCTTAAATCTGACCCCCAAAGCCCCCTGTGCCTCCCGCCCTCCCGGGGTGGGGAGCTTCCCTGATGGGCAAGGGGGGAATAATGAACCTCTGTGAATCACCTATCTATTGGCACAGAATGGGGCTATCAGACTGCTGATTGTGTGTGTGTGTGTGTGTGTGTGTGTGTTTGTGTGTGTGTGTGTGTGTGTGTGTGTGTGTGTGTGTGTGTGTGGACAGGGCCCCGGGGCCCGATGCCGCAGCCCCCATCCTCCTCCTCCTCTTCTTCCTCACTCCATGCAGCCGCTTGGCGCAATTACTTCCACATGTTAGGGAAAAGAACAGTGTCCTTGTTCTCCAAACAAAGGATCTGAGCTTAAGGAAGACCCAGCTTACCTCAAAGCAAGCTCAGGCTCTCACTGCTAACCAATTACAACCAGGTGAACCGGTTTAAACACCTCCACACCAGTGCGAATGTTTTTATCAAGTAAGTTTTCCTCGAAATCCTTCATTATTCTGTAAAACAGTCACTAATTGAGTTGTTTGTTTGTTTGTTTGTTTGTTTGCTTCTCTCGTGTTCATTTTTTGTTTCGGTTTCGTTTTTAAACCAG